GATTCATAAGGGCTTAAACACCGTAGAAGGGGGAGTGAGAAAGATCTCTTATACAGGACCCCATCAACGAGTGTATATCGAGATGCTTTCTTCCTCAATTTCATTGCCTCCTGTCTGTTCTCAGGTACGATCCCATCTCGTAAAAAGGAGACAATCGAATCGGTCCAGCTCGGCGTGTCAGGGTCTGTGCTGATCTCCATCACACGAGGCTTCATGAAGCTTGGCTCGTCTAGGATTTCAACAAAAACAGATCTGGAGCTTAAAGAGCTATCAGAGGCAAACTTGGAGAGTGAATCTGCCTGTTCATTCTTAGCTCGGGGGATTTTACTTAGGCAGAATTTCTGGAATTTGCACTTCAGCTCAGCCACCAAAGCCACATACTTCACCATCACAGGATCAACGACTTCGCAAATAGAGTTGATTTGGTTCACCACCAGCTGGGAGTCACTGTACACTTGAATTGCATTGATTTTCAACTCTAATGCTAGTTGTAGACCCAGTAGCAGAGCTTCATATTCAGCCATATTATTTGTCGCATCAAAGTTGAATTTCAGGGCATGTTCACTTCGGTATCCTTCTGGACCAATCAAGAGAGCGCCAGCCCCTGAACCCTTGCTACTAGAGGCTCCGTCAACATATAAGGTCCATTCGTTGAATTCTGGAGTAGAGGTTGAGGGATATGGAGTGCATTCGACAATGAAATCTGCCAATGCTTGAGCCCGGATAGTTGACCTCTGCTGAAACGTGATCTCAAACTCCCCCAGTTCTACTGCCCACTTAAATGAAATCTGCCAGTTCTATTACTTTGATTAAAAAACTATCATTAAATTATTTAAATTGTATGCAATATACTTTTTTTTTTGTTTGCAACAAAAATTGATGCTTCTTATTATATTGATAATATTTATTTATTTAAAAGAAAATTTTATTAAAATATTTAATAATTTTATAAAAATTTTGACATTTTAATTACAAAAATATTTTAATTTTTTGCAATCCTTACATTGTTTATTGAAAAATTTCTCGCAATAGCTACTTGATGTAAAGGTTGGAAATTTCCTTTGCACCCTGATCTTAAGGAAAATTTTTAAATTTGTTGATAAAAAAATTTATATGTTCTTAAAAATATTTTTTATTTAAATTTAATTGTTTTAATTTAACTTTTATATAAATTTTGATAAAACGTTATCAAAATTGTCTAGAAACTAATCAACCATAATGAAAATTCTAGCAACGCAAGTTTGATCGACCATGATTGCCATTCTCACTTCAGGGGTCATCAACTTGTGAATGGTACTTTTATAATTAAAATACTTTTATAATTAAAATGTCAAAATTTTTATAAAATTATTAAATATTTTAATAGATTTTTCTTATAAATAAATAAATATTATCAATATAAAAAGAACGAAGCATCAATTTTTATTACAAACAAAAAAAAATAAAGAATATTGCATACAATTTAAATAATTTAATAATAATTTTTTTAATGAAAATAACAAAATTTAAATTTGAATTACATAACATATAAATAAAATAAATTAAAAGTCGTCTCTCATTGGGTAATCTAAAAAAATTATTATTATTTTTTTGGTACTAAACCCTCTAATTTTCAAAAATTACATTAAACCTCAATTAATTTAAAATTAAATTAAATTAGACCTTAGGGAAACCCCATCAGAATCTATTTCTTTATTCACAAATTTGAAATTTAAAAGGAAGGTTACTTTTACTTAAACTAACAAATTATGAGGTAAATTCTCTCAAAATCTATTTCTTTATTTACAAAATTCTAATTTAGAATCTTACTTATTTCAAAAATAAATTCCAGTTATTTTTATTCAGGTTATTAAATTATCAGTAAAAAAAATATTAATTATTAGAAGGTGTATAAAGGGAAAAAAAAAGTTGCTTCTCCTCCGATTTTACAGCACAATGTTGAAAAAAAGTAAAGAATAAAGAAAGAAATTAAAAATTGAGTGGTGCTATTGGGACATTCTTTTCATCTCATCTTTTAATATAATTTTCATATATCATTAAATAAGTAAATATATTTAATATTATGAGTTTTATATAAATTAAAAAAATTAATCACTTTAATGATACATTAGATTATACCAAAAAAATAAGATGAAAAATTTGTCCCAAAATCATTTTCCTTCTAAATTATCCAAAGAAAAAAAATATCTTATCTGCTAAGGAAAGTGTTAAAGCTAACTGTAATCCTTATATTTTGTGAAAATGTTTATTGTCATCCCTTTCCTAAGGAAATGTTTTTAGCTCTAAATTAATAGAATATGTAAATTTGGTCAAAATGAAAATAAAATATTTATAAGATTATTTTTAAAAATTAAAAATATAATAATTTAATTTTAAAAGTTTAAAAATTAAAAAAAAATTATGAATCACTTTTAATAGCATTAAATATTTATAATTAAATCAAATGATTACACATTGAAGGTGCCAGTGACGGTATCATTAGCAGACCTCATTGCAGCCTCGATATCGAACCCAAATGCACTCGTTCCTCCCTCTTCTGAGTCTCATGAAGCTGCGTACGAGTTCCGTTCGGCCAACGGAGACGATCCAGCCTTGGGTTGCCCTTCGCTGATCCCGGTACCACCAGAAAACCGGCCTGGCATTTCTCCTTTTCTTTTGTAGACGAGCCAACAGCTCCGCAAATTCTTTACTTGGATTTCGAAGGGAAGTTATCAGCTTTGATCCTTCTTCTTCCTCTTCCCCCAGCGGGGGTCAGATATCCTCTTCACCCGATTCTCATGGGCCACCTCGTCCAAGAAATACCCACAGGTCAACCCTTCAAGATCAATGTTGGGCCAAATTACTTAATACAGTGGTTCGTGAATCTAACACTGAGTGAAGAGTAAGGTTGAGGAATGAGTCTAACATTTCGACAATTAAGCCGAAGAGACCGTATAGAGCCCAAGAAGGCAGATGTAGCAGTCACGACATGCCCACGTGACCAAAAATTGGTGTACTAAACTACTAATAGAGCATGTACCAATAGAGCCATGACACCTTGCAGCATAGTTTAAAATGAAGTCTATAAATACCTTTAACTATTTCTAGGCAAAATAATAAATTTCATTACGTTTTTTTTCTCTGTAATTTTTTTTAAAATTATAAAATATTATTAATTTAAGTATTTAAGTATCTTTCTCAATAAAGTACCTTAGATTTTTCAAGTATTAGAGTAGTTTGTCATCTCAACAATGAGAGTTAGTGAAGCTGCCCAAACACTTGGATTCCGAAGGGAAATGATCAATGTTGATCCTTCTTCTTCCTCTTGTTGCAGCAGTGGTCGGATATCTACTCGAAATTCGGAGCTCCATGGAACGCTAAAGCCCAGACCACACAGGATGGTGGGAATTGTCCTCCTCTCCCTAAGTTTCTTCCAAATATACAACCAACTCCCACAGAGAAACTGAGGTTAGCAAGTAAGTACTTTAAGTAGGGCCTAAACTGAAAATATGACTTGGCAAGATTAATTGTCATGAGAAGTGATATAAAAATAGTTTTTTAAAAATAATTTTTTATATAATTTTTTTATATTATTAAATAAATAAATAAATTTAATATTATGAATTTTAAATTAATAAAAAATTGATTATTTAAATAATAAAATTATATTAAAAAGTAATAAAAAAAGATTACCTCTAAATCATAATCTAATTGTTAGTAGGAAAAATTAAAGATGAGAGTAAAAGTCGGCCAACACTATGGAGAGAAAAAAAAATCTTAATCAACATCACTTGAAGATAAAATATGAAAATATAGTTTTTTAATTTAAATTGTATTACACAAGATAATTTTCTTTCATCTTTTAACTTATTATATCTACATGTTGTGTAAACTTAAAATTTCTTACTTTGAATAAAAAGAAATTATTACTAAATTATTTAAGTAATTAACAATATAAAAATATATTTTAAAAGCATGTATATTTTGTTATCAACAAATTTTAAAATTTTCCTAAAGATCAAAGTAGAGAG